GTAAGAAGTGAGTAGTTAAGAATCAGGCAAAATTCTTCTGTCAATCTACAAATCCTTTCAATATTCTTGTCTCCATGATACTCTTTCCTGGGTTTCTGCAGTTCTAGGACAAGGCTTGCAGCTAGGCATAGAAAGCAGCAGCTTTTCTGTCTGGTTCCAGCAGGGATTGATCAGGCTCTTGAGATGAGCTTATGAATACCCAAGCAGGCTGTGTGTCTAAATGAAAAGAAAATCTCCCTGTTTACATTTAAAATCCCAACAAAGAACCAGTGCATCTGAGCTGAGGCTGATTCCCATTGTCCTATAGCACTGGGAAAGGGGTATCTCATAGGATGAATTTACCTCACTTCAGAACATGCCACCAAAATACCTCTTGACTCAATTATACCACAGAACTCTAGAAATCTAAATTCCCGGGTCTTGTAGTTTCCAAACACCCTTGTGAGAGGTACTGATGGAGTCTGTTGTATATATGAGTGGCCACAAGGCTTTTCGCTTTACATGTGGGTTGTTCCTGTAAGTACCCTTTGAAATATTGGACGGAAAGGGCCAAACGGGACTGTTTGTCTTACTCCAGTAGTCTTGGGTAAACAGCTTTTCCTCTCTCTGGGCTGGCATTAGAATTAAAACATGGTTCATTTGCCTTAGGACAACCTCTTCTATTCAACTGAGTCAGAAAAAATGGAAGGTAATGAGTCTACTGCTACTGTCATGAAGCAGAGACCAGTCTGAGATTCATTCCCATTCCTTCTCATCTGTCCTTCAGGGTCAGTTTCAAGAGGGCCCAGATTGTTAAGAAATTGAATTTTCAGTGAACTCACTACCTTATTTGCACCTTGGAATATTAAGTCATACTCTTTGTGTATATAAGTCTCATATTGGAGACTAACTTCTAGAGTGTTCGTGTGGACTTCTCAAACATGGCTTGGAAGGCAGTATTCTTTCAAATACTGGGACAGCCTGGTATAGAAAAAGTTCATAGACCTTGGAGTCACCACATCCAATTTTTTTAACCGCTTTACTGAAGTATGATTGACATGAAAAAATTTTTACTTATTTATTATATACAAATGCTTATTAAATGGATTTTGGAATAGATTTTAATGATGGTGAAACTGTCACTATTATCAGGGCCGTAGATCTATTGCCGCAAAGTTTCCTCCTGACCGCCATTATTATTTTGGGAGTTCAGTCTGTGTGTGTGTGTGTGTGGTATGAACACATAACATAAGATCTACCTTTTTAGAAAATTTTAAATATACAATACAGTATTGTTAGCTGTAGACACTGTGCTATATAGTGGATCTCCAGAATTTATTTACCTTGTATAATTAAAACTTTGTATTCTTTGACAATCACCTCTGTATCTTTTTCTCCCCCCAGTCCTTGGCAGTCACCATTCATTCCCTGCCTCTATGAGTTTGGCTATTTTAGATTTCACATATGGTATTTGTCTTTCTGTGTCTGGCTTATTTCACTGAGCATAATGTCCTCCAGGTCCATCCATATTGAGGCAAATGGCAACATTTCTTTCTTTTTAAAGTCTGGGTAACATTCCACTATATACATAGTTACTTTTATATGTTAACTTGACTGGGTGGTTAAGGTATACTCAGAGAGCTGGCAAAATACTATTTCTGGTGTGTCCCGGGAGGATGTTTTTGCTGTGTCTGTGATTAACATTCAGATCAGTAGACTGAGTTAAAAGGGTCTGCCCTTACCAGTGGAGGCAGGCCTCAACCAATAAGGAACGGCAGATTTGCTCTCTTTTCTGGAGCTGGGACATATATTTTCTCTTAAAGCTCCCGTGGTTCTCAGGCCTTCAGACTCCATGGGTTACCCCAATATCACCTTTTGGCCTTGAACGGAGAGTTACACTGGCTCTCCTGGCTCTCAGCCCTTCGAACGTGGACTGATCTATACCACTGGCTTTCTTGGTTCTGTCTCTTGGAGATGACATAGCAAGGGATTTCTTGGCTTCTAAAGCTGTGTGGGCTGATTCTCCTAATAAATTCTCTCATATATCTGTATATAGCCTATTAATTCTATTTCTTGGGAGAACCGTGACTAATACACACATTTTCTTTATCCATTCATCTGTCGGTTAATAATTAGGTTGTTTCTATATCTTGGCCATTGTAAATAATGCTGTAGTCAACAAGGGACTGCAGGTATTACTCTGCCTCTTTGAGATCCTGATCTTACTTCATTTGGATAAATATCCAGAAGTGGAACTGATAGATCATATGGTAGTTCTGTTTTTAGTGTTTTGAGGAACCTCCATACTGTTTTCATAGTGACTATACCAATTTAAATTCCCAACAGGGTACAAAGATTCCTTTTCCCCCACATCCTTGCCAACATTTTTCTTTTGTTTTTTGATAATAGCCATCTCAATAGGTATGAGCTGATAACTCACTGTGGTTTTGATTTGCAATTCCCCGATGATTAGAGATGTTAAACATTTTTTTCCTCATAAATCTGTTGGCTGTTTGTCTCCTTTGGAAAAATGTCTATTCAGGGTTTTTTTTTTGTCCTTTTTATAATTGGGTTATTTTATTTTTTGCTATTGAGTTACAGACTTTACATATTTTTGGGATATTAATCCCTTATACATTGTATGGTTTGTCAACATTTTCTTTCATTCTGTTGATTTTCTCTTTACTCTGTTGTTTCCTTTGTTGTGAAGGAGCTATTAGTTGGTTGCAATTCATTTATTTTTTCTTGCCTGTGCTGTTGGAGTCATATTAGAAAAAAAAATCATTGTTGAGACCAATGTCAAGAAACTTTCCTTCTGTTTTCTTCTATTAGTTTCACAGTTTTAGGTCTTACCTTAAAGTTTTTAATGTCTTTTGAGTTGATTTTTGTATATAGTGTGAGATAAATGTCCAATTTTATTCATCTGGATGCAGATATCCAGCTTTCCCATCATTTATTGAAGAAACTACTCATTTCCCATTGTGTGTTCTTGGCACTTTTGTTGAAGATCAATTGACTGTAAACATGCGAATTTATTTCTGTGCTCTCTATTCTGTTCCATTGGGTCATGTGTCTGTTTTTATGCCAATACCATACAGTTTTGAGTATTAGAGCTTTGTGGTATATTTTGAAATTAGATAGTATGATGTTTCCAGCTTGCTTTTCTTGCTCAAAATTGCCTTAGCTATTTTTGGATTTTTTGAGGCCCCCTATAACTTTTAGGATTCTTTTTTCTATCCTTTTTCTAAGGATTGCATTCAATCTATAGATTACTTTGGATTGTAAGAACACCTTAACAATAGCAATTCTTAAAATCACTGAACACTGACTGTCTTTCGATTCATTTGTCTCACCTTTAATTAAAAAAGTGTCAAATACTTTTCAGCATACAGATCTTTCACCTCCTTGACCAAATTTGTTCCTATATATTTTTTATGATATTGGAAACAAGATTGTGTTCTTATTTTTCACATAGTTTGTGGTTATTCTATATGAATGCTGCTAATATTTTATGCTGATTTTTATCCTGCAGCTTTGTTTTCTTGTCATTCTAACAGTTTTTGATGAAGTCTTTAAAATTTTCTGTACATTAGATCATATCATCTGCAAACAGAGACAATTGAATTCTTACTTTGTAATTTGGATGCTTTTTATATATTTTTCTTGCCTAACTGCCTTGGCTACTGCTTTTAGTACTGAACATAAGTGGTGAGTAGACATCCTTGTCTTATTTTGGGTCTTAGGTTAAAAGCTTTTAGCATTTCACTGTTGAATATGATGTAAATTGTGGGCTTGTTGTATATGGCCTTTATTATGTTGTGGTATATTCCACCTATACCAGCTTTGTTGAGCGTTTTTACCATGAGAAAATACTGAATTTTGTCACATACTTTTCCTGTTTCTATAGAGATGATCATAAAATTTGTATCCTTTATTCTGTTAATGTATTACATTTTTAAAATTTATGTACAATCATACCTTGTTTTACTATGCTTAGCTTTATTGCACTTTGCTGTTGTTGTTTATTTATTTATTTATTTTCAAATTGAAGGTTTGTGGCAACCTTTGTATCATACAAGTCTTTCAGCACCTTTTTTTTCTAATAGCATGTTCTCACTTTGTGTGAGATATTTCAGACTTTTTTGTTATTACATCTGTTATGGTGATCAGTGATCAATGACCTTGATGTTACTATTATAATAGTTTTCATGTGGCATGAATCACACCCATAACACCCATATAAGACAGCAAACTTAATTGGTAAGTGTTGTATGTGTTCTAAATGTGACACTGACGAGCTGTTCCCCAGCCTCTCTCCTTCTTATTCTCTGAGACACAAAAATACTGAAATTGGTCTAATTAACAACCTTACAATGGCCCCTAAGTTTTCAAGTGAAAGGAAGAGTTGTATACCTTTCATTTCAATTTAAAAGCTAGAAATGTTGAAAGCCAAGACAGGCCAAAAGCTGGGCTTCTTGTTTCAAACAGTTAGCTAAGAGAGAGTTAACTAACAAGAATACATGGACACAAAGAGGAAACAGACACTGGGACCTACCTCAGGATGGAGGGCGGGAGGAGGGAGGGGATCAGAAAAAAATACCTATTGGTTACTATGCTTATTACCTGGGCAGTGAAATAATCTGTATACCAGACACTCATCACACAAGTTTATCTATATAACAAAATTGCACATGTACCCCTGAACGTAAAATAAAAGTCATAATAAATTGAAAGTGCTCCTCCAGTGCATACATGAATAATAAGAAAGTAAAACAGTATTACTGCTGTTATGAATAAAGTTTTAATGGTCTGGATAGAACAAACCATTATAATAGTCCATTAAGAAAAAACCTAATCCAGAGTAAAGCTGTAACTGTCTTTGTAAAAAAAAAATTAATATATATATATTTTTTAGATTTGGGGGGAACATGTGCAGGTTTTTTTTTTTAATGGATATATTGCATAATGGTGAGGTTTGAGATTCTAGTATACTCATCACCTAAATAGTGAACATAGTACCTAATGGAACAAGAAAGTCTAGATGACAGCACATTTGTTTACAGCATGGTATACTGAATATTTTAAGCCCACTGTTGAGATCTGTTCAGAAAAATTATACTTTTTGAACTATCACTATTCATTGGTAATGCACCTAGTGACCCAAGAACTCTGCTGGAGATGTACAAAAAGACTGATGTTTTCATACTTGTTAACACAACATCCATTCTTCAGCCCATCGATCAAGGAGTAATTTTGACATTCAAGTGTTGTTATTTAAGAAATACATTTCTGGCCGGGCGCGGTGTCTCACGCCTGTAATCCCAGCACTTTGGGAGGCCGAGGTGGGTGGATCACGAGGTCAAGAGATCGAGACCATCCTGGTCAAAATGGTGAAACCCCATCTCTACTAAAAATACAAAAAATTAGCTGGGCGTGGTGGCACGTGCCTGTAATCCCAGCTACTCAGGAGGCTGAGGCAGGAGAATTGCCTGAACCCAGGAGGCGGAGGTTGCGGTGAGCCGAACCCAGGAGGCGGAGATCGCGCCGTTGCACTCCAGCCTGGTTAACAAGAGCGAAACTCCGACTCAAAAAAAAAAAAAAAAAAAGAAATACATTTCTTAAGACTGTAACTGCCATAGATAGTGATACCTCTCATCACTCTGGGCAAAGTGAATTTAAAACCTTTTGGAAAGGATTCACTATTCTAGATGCTATTAAGAACATCTGTGACCAGGCACAGTGGATCATTCCTGTAATTTGAGCACTTTGGGAGGCCAAGGTGGGAAGACCACTTGAGTCCAGAAGTTTGAGAGCAACTTGAATAACATAGCAGGACTCCATCTCTGCAAAAAAATTTAAAAATAGGCCGGACATGGTGGCTCACATGTGTAATCCCAGCACCTTGGAAGGCCAAGGCAGGAGCATCACTCGAGCTCAGGAGTTTGAGACCAGCCTGGCCAACATGATGAAACGCTCTCTCTACTAAAAATACAAAAATTAGTCAGGCTTGGTGGCATGTACCTGTAATCTCAGCTACTGGGGAGGCTGAGGCATGAGAATCGTTTGAACCCAGGCAGTGGCAGAGGTTGCAGTAAGCCAAGATCACGCCACTGTACTCCAGCCTGGGTGACAGAGAGATACTTTGTCTCAAAAAAAATAAATAAATAAAAATTAAAAAAATTAGTTGGGTATGGTGGTATGTACCTGTAGACCCAGCTACTTGGGAGGGGAAGTTAAGGTGGGAGGTTGATTAGAGTGCAGGAGGTTGAAGCTACAGAGAGCCATATTTATGCCACTGCACTGCAGCCTGGGTGACATAGTAAGACAGTCTCAAAAAAAAAAAAAAGGGACATTCACAATTCATGGAAGGAGGTCAAAATATCAACATGAAAAAGAAGTTGACTCTCATGGAAGACTTTGAGGAGTTTAAGTCTTCATTGGAGGAAGTGACCAGTGATGTGGTGGAAATAGCAAGAAAACTAAAATTAGAAGTGGAACCTGAAGTTATTACTGAGTTACTGCAGCCTCTTGATAACTGAAAAGATGAAGAGATAAATGAACAGAGAAAGTGGTTTCTTGAGATGGAATTTAGCCCCGGTAAGATGATGTGAACCGTCTTGAAATGACAACAAAGAATTTAGGATATTACTTAAACTTAGTTGATATAGCAGCAGTAGGGTTTGAGAGCACTGACTTCAGTTTTGAAAGAAGTTCTTTTGCGAGTAAAATATTAATATTATCAAAATGCATTGTATGGTGAAGAGAAATCTCACAAATGAAAGAGCCAATCAAGGTGGCAAGCTTCACTGTTACTCTGTTTTAAGAAATTGCTACATGGCTGGGCATGGTAGCTCAGGCTTGTAATCCCAGCACTTTGAGAGACTCAGGAAAGAGGATCACTTGAAGCCAGGAATTCTAGACCAGCCTGGTCATGATAGGTTAGCCCCATCTTTATGAAAAATAATCCTAAAAAATCAGGACATGGTGGTACGCACCTATAATTCCACCTACTTGGCAGGCCGAGGTGGGAAAATCATTTGAGCCCAGGAGTTTGAGGTTATAGTGAGCCATGATCACCCCACTGTACCCCAGCCTGAGGAACAGAGAAAGACCCTGTCTCTAAAGAATTGAAACAAAAATATTGATACAGTCACCCCAATTTTCAGCAACTATCATTTTGATTAGTCAGCAGCGATGAACATTGAGGCAAGACCCTACACCAGCAAAAAACTATGATTCACTGAAGGCTCAGATGATTGTTAGCATTTTTTTTAGTAGCAAAGTATTTTTAAAAAGATACGCACATTTTAAAATATATTGCTATTGCACACTTAATAGACCACAGTATAGTATAAATATAACTTTAATATTCACTAGAAAACCAAAAAATTTATTGTGATATTTGATTTATTGTAGTGGTGTGAACCTGCAGGATCTGTGAGGTACGCCTGGACATTGACTCATGCTTACACTGCAAGGACAAGTCCCACTTGATTATGGTGTATGTTCCCTTTAACGTGCGTTGAATTTGATTTACTAGTATCTTGTTGAGAATTTTTGCATCTAGATTACCAGTAATAACGATTTTTTTGTATCGTCCTTGTCTGGGTTTTGTATCAGAATCATGCTGGCCTTATAAAATGAATTTGAATTTTTTACCTCCTTTTAATTTTTTTATGAGTTTGAGAAGGATTGGCATTACATCTTGCTTTAATATTTGATGTAATTTTCCTGTGAAGCCCTCAGGTCTTGGTATTTTATTTATTGAGAGAGTTTTGATTGCTGATTGTATTTTCTTATTAGTTATTGGTCTGTTCAAATTTTCTATTTATTTATGATATCTTGGTAGATTGAATGTTTCTAGGAAGTTACCCGTTTCCTCTAGGTTATCTAATTTGTTAACACACAATTGTTCATAGCAGTCTCTTTGATGCTCTGTATTTCTGCAATGTCAATTGTATAATAACTCTTTTATTTACAGTTTCTCTTATTTGAATCTTTTTTCTTAGTCTTACTAAAAATTGTCAATTTTATCTTTTAAAAACCCTGTCTTATTTTTTTATTTTATTTTTTCTAGTCTATTTCATTTATTTCTCCCATTTTCTTTCTTTTTTATATTTCAGGATTTTAATGTCATGAAATGCTAGTATTAATAAGAGTATATCATAAGAATATTCACAAAATTTTACAAGTGAGGTAGAATATTTAATACTTTTTTTCATAATGTGTAAAGTATTTACTGGAAATGCATCTTATTTTTTTCCAACTTTTGTTTTAGGTTCAAGGGGTAGATATGTGTGTGTGTTATGTAGGTGAATTACATGCTGCAGGGGTTTGGTATACACATTATTTTGTCACCCAGGTAATAAGCATAGTACCCAATAGGTGGTTTTTTTGATTCTCATTCTCCTCTCACCCTCCACCCTCAAATAGGCCCTGGCACCTTTTGTCCCTTCTGTATGTCTATGTGCACTGTGTTTAGTTCCCGTTTATAAATGAGAACGTGAAGTATTTGGTTTTCTGTTCCTGCGTTAATTTGCTTAGGATAATGGCCTCCAGCTCCAGCCATGTTGCTGCAAAGAATGTAATCTCATCCTTTTTTTTACAGCTGTGTAGTATTCATTATACAAAATACTAGATGTATATGTGTCATATTTTCTTTACCAGTTCCCCACTGATGGGCATTTGGGTTTATTTTATATCTTTGTTACTGTGAGTAGTGCTGTGATGAACGCATGTGTACATGTGTCTTCACAGCTGAATGACTGACATTCCTTTGGGTTTATACCCAGTAATGAGATTCCTGGGTCAAATGGTAGTTCTGTTTTAAGCTCTTTGAGAAATCTCCACGCCGTTTTCTTTAGTGACTGAACTAGTTTACATTCCCATCAGTAGGGTATAAGCATTCCGTTTTCTCTGAAACCTCACTAGCATTGGTTATTTTTTGATTTTTTAGTAATAGCCCTTCTGATTGGTATGAAATGGTATCTCATTTTGGTTTTAATTTGAATTTCCCTAATGATTAGCGACATTGAACATTTTTTCGTATTCTCAGTGGCTGTACATATGTCTTACTTTGAGATGTGTTTGTTCATATTCTTTGCCCATTTTTTAATGGGGCATTTTAGTTTTTGCTTGTTGATGTGTTTAAAGTCCTTATAGATTGTAGATATGAGACCTTTGCTTGATATATACTTTGCAAATATTTTATTTCATTCTGTAGGTTGTCTGTTGACTCTGTTTCTTTTGCTGTACACAGACTCTTTAGTTTAATTAGGTCCCATTTGTCAACTTTTGTTTTTGTTGCAATTGCTTTTGGTATATTTGTCATGAAATCTTTGCTAGGCCTTATATTCAAAATGGCATTTCCTATCTTGTAGAGTTTTTATAGTTAAAGGTTTTACATTTAAGTCTTTAATTTTTATATTGTGAAAGATAAATGTCCTGTTTGAATCTTTTGCATATGGCTAGCCAGTTATCCCAGCACTATTCATTGAATAGAGGGTGCTTTCCCCATTGCTTTTTTTTGTTGACTTTGTTGATAATCAGGTGGTTGTAGGTGTGTGGGTTTATTTCTGGGTTCTCCAACCTGTTCCATTAGTCTATGTGTCTGTTTGTGTACCAGTATCATGCTGTCTTGGTTATTGTATCATTGTGATATTGTTGAATTGGATTGTGTGATACCTCTGGCTTTGTTCTTTTTGCTTAGGATGGCTTTAGCTATTTGGGCTTTATTTTTAATTCCATATAAATATTAGTATTTTTTTATAATTCTATGAAGAATATCATTGGTAGTTTGATAGAAATAGCGTTGAATCTGTAAATTGCTTTGGAGAGTATGACCATTTTAACAATATTGATTCCTCCTAACCATAAACATAGAATATTTTTCCATTTGTTTGTGTCATCTCTGACTTATTTCATCAGTGTTTTCTCATTCTTATTGTAGAGACCTTTCACCTCCCTGGTTATCTGTATTCCTAGGTACTTTAATTTTTTTGTGAGTGCTTTGAATGCCATTGTGTTCTTCATTTGGCTTTCAGCTTGGATGTGAAATGCTACTGATTTTTGTATATTGATTTTGTATCCTGAAACATTGCTGAAGTTGTTTATCAGATCTAGCAGCTTTTGGGCAAAGACCTGTGCCACTCCATGTCTTTTAGGTGGGGTGTTCAGCCCATTTATATTCCAGAGTA